CAAAATTCGAATGCACAGACATTAGTTTTGGATCAGCCTAAAGTACATGGAATAAAAACAGATATTACGCAAGTAAAAAATATTCATGAAAATGAATTGCAATATACTATTGAAGATAATATAGCACAAAATCAACTTAATACAATGCCTAATACTCAAGCGCAAATTTTACAAAAATTACCTGTGATTTTACCATCTTCACAATTTATTATAAAACCTGCACAAACTATATTAAAACCAGCTAAAAATATTAGATTACTTCAAAATTCGAATAAACTCTCTAACACAACTGTTAATTCCATTAATGCTGTACATTCACTTAATACTAATTCAAATCCTAATTCTGTATTACTTTCAAAGGCTACAATAGTAAATAATTTATCACCACAAATAATAAAAGCTACACCTATAACAGCTCAATTATTAAATAGTGGTATATCTGCACAATTATTAAATACTTCTCAGTTTTTAACTGGTACTTGTGACATACAAAATCAATCTGTTGGTACTTCACATATTTCAAATACTATTGTAAATACTACATCTGGAGCAACGCAAAATCTTGTTACTTCACAAATACGTTTGTCTCCAATTGTAAAAACATCACAATCTCTTCAAAAAGGAAATGTTCAACAATTTTTAACTCCAGTGCTAAAAAGTGCATCAACTGTGCTTCCAAAGACTAATCAAATTCTTAATAATACCAATGTGGCTACAGCTATTCCTGCACAATTTTTAAAATCTGTACAAATCCCTTCTCAGTTACTTAAAACAAGAACCACTATTGGTAAAAAAAATTCAGGAATAATTGGAACAGCAAAAACTACAGCTAATTCTGATACACCTGTTGTACTTCGAACTGCATCTATTGTAAAAACTCAAGATTTAAAAACAGTAACAACAAATTCTATTTTAAAACCAACTCAAATTTCATCAACACCTATATCTATTTTAAAACCTCAAACAAAAATTACATTCAACAATGCAACTAAACAAAATGTGAATATTGCAAACCAAAATATTACTAATGTTTCAAGTAATTTACAAAATAATTCACAAAAAACGCCTATAACACAACATAGCAATACATATGAATCTATTAAATCAATTCAAAATGAAACTACTAGACAAAAACTTAATTTTATAGTAAATGGCACAAATCTTAAAGTAAATAAAAAAGTTAAAAGTACTCCTATTAAATCTACAACAATAGTAAATGAATCTACAGATGCATCTAAGCCATTAGGTTCTAGTGAAAATCCAATACAAATAGTTCAGCAAGGTCAAACATTTCATAGGTAGGTAACAAATATTAAAATAATATAATTACCAATTATTTTATAACAATTATATTTATTCTAGTATGCAACGTTTAACACCAATGCAATTAAAACAAATTGCACATGTTTTGCAACAACGTAGCCAAGAAACAACTACATCAAATGAAAGAGTAGTATATAGGTCAGTATATATATTTATATACTGTCAGTATATATATTTATTTAATATTATAGAATTTTAAATCTAAATGATTTAAATGTACATTCAGAGTGGTATTTCCCGAAGAATTGGATTTACAAATTAGAAATCCAGGAAATTTATTAAAAAATCGTGGTGGAAAAAGAGGTAGACCAAAAAAAAGTACTATAAGACCTTCATTGCTTCCACCTAAACCACCACCAATTCCTGATGAAGAACAAGAAGAATTAAAGGTAGATTTTATTTATTTGTTTAAATTTTTAAATTATTTTACAATAATATATTAATATATTAATCTTTTTTTTAGGATGAAAGAAAAAAAGTTGTGGCCAGAACACGATCTGGTAGACTTTCTCGACCTCCTAGACATATGGTGCGAGATTATAAACACTTACATCATTTAGATTTTCTACAACCTGACTTAGATGATTCAGATGGTGGTTATAGTGATTATAATACTAATAATGATAAACTTGAAGAAGAAGAATCACCTAAAGAATTATTAACAGGTCTTGAAGTACCAAAAAGAAAAATATCAGATCATTTTAGATGTCCTACATGTAATAAAATATATTTAGGGCGTACTCGTATGGCAAGGCATTTTGAAATGCATCCTGATCATGGAAGTCCTGAGCAACTACCTCCTCCAACACCTGAACCTGAATTAAAACAAAATGGAGGACAAGATCCTTTAAAACGTAAAGGGAAAAAACGAGGTCCTTGGGCTTATGTTACACCAGAAGCTAAATCAGAAAGACGCCAAATAAAATTACAAGAAGCGATTTCTGTATGTGAAAATCTCGAAATAATAAAAATTGCTGCGAAACCGGTACTTAACGCACAATCATTATTTGATTTATTGGTACTAAAGTCTGAAAATAATGTAAGAAATTTTTTGGACGAGTTAAAACAATTAATGGATAAAATACGAGAAAAAGTTGGAACAATGTTAACAATTGCAAATAGCGATGAAGAATTAAGCGAAGATTTAATTGATATCAGTGAAGAATCACTTTGTGATGCTTTAGGTCTTCATCCAGGATTATATAAAATTAACAATGAAGCTCTAAAAAAAAGTGATACTTCTATTTGCACTACTTATGATAATAGAGAGCCACCTCTTAAACTTCAAAAAATAGATAATTCTGAAGATGGTAAAGAAAATATAGAGGAACGAATGTCCAGTGGTTTTTCTGAAAGTTCAGATCTTAGTGTTTCGGACTTTTTAAGTGATAGAAGAAATGATTCTGTAACAAATCCTACTTGTCCAGAAGTGCTATCTGCTTTAACATTAATGCGAAGAAATCCTAGTCCTGTGAATAATGCAGAGAATAATAAATCTAACAATGTTTCAAAACTTTTAATTTCAAATCCAGAAATTCAAAATCAAATTTCAGATAATCCTGGATTTCAAAAAGTTGATATCACTTCACCAAAAATTTCAAATTATCAAAAATCAGAGTCTCATAAAGAAAACTTTACAAAATTAGGAAACGGTTTAGGATCATCAAACTTTTGTAAAATTGAAGATAATTATGAACAATCTAAAATAGAACATATGGAACAAGCTTTTATAAAATTAGAACCAACAGAACAAGGTTTTGTTAAACTAGAAAATGGTTCTATGGATACTTATTCAAAACAAGATGCTCAAAATTTTGATAAAATACAAAATGGTTTGGACAACATGGAGAATGGATCTCAGAATTTTATTAAAGGATTCCAAAAATTAGTTTCCAAAATAATTCCTATGACATCATCAGATTTAAATTGTGTTAAAACTCAATCTGCATCATTAGATACAGGTTCTTGCAAAATAATGCCTGCTACTTCTGGTTGCAAAATTTCAGATAGCCTGCCTATACTTCAAGATGCAGTACCAATAATTTCCAATAATTGTGATTCTAATATATTTGGCAGTTCAGAAAATTTAGATATGTCAAAAATAGCTCAATATGATCATATAGCACATTTAGATATTCTAAATACAAGTGGAGTTATAGATAAAAACTTATTAATCGATGAAAAATTAGTTGAACAGTTACATCTAGTAGATCAATCAAATTTAGTTGATGAACTTGTATCTGAACGATTAAAAAATATTATGCCAGATAATATTTTAGAAAATAATTTGATATCAAATAATTCAAATTTAGATACTGATCTTGATTTTGAAGCATTAAGTGAAGAATTTAATAGAAATACTAGAAGTTGATTCTTGGATGATAGCATGCAAAATGTTCCTAAAAAAATTGAAATAATAAATATAGTATATAATAATATCAAACTTATGCAATTGAAATTGTATATGTATGATTACACAATAATGTAGATATTTTTTTATAGAAATTCTGACAGTATCACAATCAATATATTATAACTTCCATATTTGAATGAAGAATACTACTAACAGTAAGATAATATGTCTTGCATTCTGACATATATGTAAATAAGACTGTTTCTGTTATATTTATTGTGTATAATGTATATTTTATATGAAAAAATATAAAAAAAGATAGTCATACTACATCGATAATATCAAAAATGTATCAATGTTCATTAAAAAAGTTTCTACTTTGTCAGATAACATTTCAACAAATTTTTACTGAAACATAAATTTTTTTTTAAACAAATAATCTTTATAATCATACACAATACAATTAATATTTTCAGTTAAATTTCTTGAAAAAAAAGTTTCATATGATAAACTAAAAAAATAAGAAATTAAAATTATATGTTAAACAATGTAAAATATAAATATATAAATTTTATGTAAATATAACTTTTCATAGATATTAGTTATATAATCAGGTAGAAATATATTATAATTCTTTTTAGTTAGAATATTACAAAAATGATTATGCACAAATTATTTTATGATTCAATTTTGACTTCCTATATCTAGTGAATATTTATCATCTGTAAAATTTGTATTGCTAATGGATAAAATAAAAATTGTATTTATATTATATCAATAATTTCATAATAACTGTAATAACTGTAAAAAAAATAATGAAAACTGAAAAAATGAAGATAATGATTTCAGAAATTGTAAGTAATAATTAATGAATAAAAGTGAATTATTTACAATTTTTGTATGAAATATTAAAAATACTTAATACACCAAAAAAATAATTCCATCCACATTGTTATAGCATTTATGTACAGTGGAAATTATTAATTTTGTATTTATCTGTAAATATGTATTATACATATGTAAGAAGTTATTGATATAATTAAATGTTAATGGCACTAGTAATATTAGAATAATTGTAACTAATCATAAAATGCATTAATTTTGCAGGTTTAGTTCCTTGTATCTTCAAGATACACTTTCTAGAATCTGCATTTTCAAACAAATATAATATGTTTATACTTGTCTATATTCATATTAATTCTTTGTGATCTCAGGTACCAATTGTAAACAGAACTTCATAATTCAAATATATTTCAATTTCATATTTTGGTTTTGTGAAATTATACAAATGGTATTTGAAAAGCCACAAATAAATGATCATTCTGTTAATCTTTGTTTTATTTCATAGTTATAACTTATGATATAATACAAAAAAGTAATCATTGTAAACACTGAATTGTTTTTGAAATAGAACACTTACCAAAATTTATGTCAATAATAATTTATTACCTATGTCCACTCTCTATTAACATTGATTCCAAGAATGTTGTCAAATTATATGGTAATAATGGTTGATGTACCCAACTAGCAAGAAACAACATTTTCCATGAATCTGTATAATAATGTGCTATATTTTCTAAAACTTTAAGCTTTACTTTTAATTCACGAGAATATGCATCATATATTGATTGTGCAATTTCTCCTAAAATTAATCATAATCCTAATAAGATAAATTAATTTCAAAAATTAGATTAAGTTTTATAAAATATAATTATAAATATTTTTACCAAATTTTAAATTAGGCCATGTTATAAATAACTTGTTTATATTAGTTTCTAAAGATGCCGTTATTTTTATATGTTTTGTGATTTGAGCAAGATTTTCTACAATAGTATTCTAGAAAAAATATTGTAATAAAAACATTTTTGTTATAATAAAAATATGAAAAGAAAAAGATGAAAAATATTAAGAGATGCATTACCAATGAATCACAAATATTTTCTAATTTATCACATTGTTCTTGCAAAATTTCAGAATAAGAGTCATCCTGTTTTATTTGAATTATATTCTTGAGTAATATTATTCCTTCTAAATGAAGTGTATTCCATATTTGTATATTTTTATGAATATCTGCAATTAAATCTCGTATATGCCGAGCAGAACCTGTTAAATTTCTTCCTTGTGTTGATTTTGCATGTGAAAGTTCTGTAATATGAATCCAATAAAACATATTTTTTATATGATTTTTTGCTTATTTATACATTATTAAAAAATGAATATAAAACAATAAAAATTAAATTACTTACTATTAACAGGAGAAAATTGTTCTTTATTTTTCATCTGTATGTGACACACTTTTTTAGCACAGTCCATCACAACTAGATTTTTATAAAAACATTAATAAAATAAGTAGAAAAATAAATACTTAATGATTACATATAGAAATTAAAAATATACTTATAAACATTTATATTAATTAATTAGAATGTAACAATAAACTTGTTCGTTCAATCGATTAATTTATACATATGTAATTGTAAATATGAAAACCTTATATAGTACAAAGAATATTTGTATATAATTATTACTCAAGTAAATATAAATATAAAAGATAAAGATTATATTTTTGATAAGTAATAATAAAATTATAGAAATTTGAAAGATTGTTTTATTGGTTAATTATGTTAAAATAAAATATTTTAAAAGAGAAAGAACCAATGATAATAACATTTCCGTTAAATTCCTAATTATCAATTTATATATATTTATATATGATAAATATTAAATAAAATTTTATAATATTTTAAATTTAATTTGATTTTATTAATTTTATAAATTACTTTAAAAAACTATTTAATTGTATTTACGTTCAAATTTTATGTAAAATTTTAAATATTTATCTTTGCATTTTAAATATATAAAAGCAAAGGATATAGATGGCGCCTATGATACAGTATGTATTTAATTATGCGCTAAAATCGAATTTAAAATATTTTGTATAATCTAAAAACAGTAATTTTTTTATTATTTAATTTATTATTTTAATACAATACTTTTGGGAAATATTATGAAATATTTTTATATTACAAAATATATCATAAATTGATCAATTAGATTTAATTTTTATTCCAAATAATAAATTTTAACAAATGATATAATGATATAAATATTTAGTTTTAAAAAGTAGATTGAAGAATTTACAATTTTAATAAATTTAACATATTAAAATTTATTTGAACAGGAATTAAAATTATAATAAATATATATAAATTTTAATCAATAATAAAATTCTTTTTTTAAACGAATAAATAATAAAAAAATTATTTATGTTAGAAAAATATAATTATTGATTGTTATTATTATTATTATTTCAGAAATAGATATGTATAATTTAAAAATAAATATATTGTTACAATGCTTGGTCGTTTTTAAAAAAATCAAAAATATAAAAAAGAATTTAAGTAAAATATGTAAATTATGATTAAAATTATAGAAAAAAATTTATATATATGATAAATTGAAACGAAAAGGATCGGATGTAACGCGGTTCGGCTCTGTTGCTTTTGTTCGGAGAACGGTCGAGGAACAAGGTCACAGATAAAATGGCAGTCGTTGAGTGGAGTTCAGCTGTGTCTCAATTATAATTACGTGGTCTCAAAAATTGCAGGAACATCTGACAAGAAGAGAAGAATGAACGTGCTTCAGGAATTAGTTTCGAAACTGAAGTCGAATAGTTGTCATTGTCAAGTCTCATAATAACACATACCGGCTTCTTATTCCATTTTTTCTCGACCAATCTAGTTAGTTGTACCTCAGAGTCGAGTCTTTGTGGCAGACGCGATTCACGTTCTTGCATCTCGTAGATCACGTGAGATTTCTCTCTTGTGCTCCGACTCGAGATTACCTCATGGGAATCGATCAAGCTACTACAAAGCCTTCGAGTTATATTCATATCAAGAAGATTTGACTTGATGCCGTTGTGCGTGATCGTAATTAAAGTTGGATCAATCCTTTAGAGCGATTATTAGCGAAAAAGATCGATTTGAATTTTTTGGCGTCGAATTAAAAAATTTGTTTAGAAATTTTTTTCGGCGGGAGATACACGTTTGAAAGAAAAAAGAGATCTAACAATGTGACGTAATTTCATGATAATAGCTCCGAATGTTAACACCTGAACAGATAAACGATCGAATTCGTGATTTGAGTTTGGTAATCGAAAAAACGCATATAACGAAAGTTTAGTTGGTGTTTGATCTTCATTACATTATTTCGTCGGTGGCAACGATGAAAATGGAGGTAAGTTTAGTGCAATAATATTAAAAAGAAATTTTTTTTTTATTGTTTGATTAAAATATTTGATTAAAATATTCGTACGAATCAATAGTATAAAATTAACGTTTTTATTATGTTAAAATAGGTTTCATGCATAAATAATCGATGTTTGTATCGATATTTCTGTATGATGCAAAAATTATGATTTAAATTGATCAAGATAGCGGTACTTTTAAATGATTAAACGAAGAAACATGAATGAAATTTCTGATTTCTATCATGGACAGATCTGATTTATGTCTTTCATTATCAATTGCATATTACCAATTGCAAGATGTATTTCAAATGAATTAATAAATTAATTATTCAAAAAAGTATATTGAAAAAGATATTACAATACTTGACTTAATTTAATTGGACAATTTGAACAAAATCGTTTCATGTATATTCGAAAGTAGTTTATCTAAATGAAAAATGAATTTATGTGTTAGCATATTGTTCTCGAAAGACTGGTTGAACGACTATTCAAATCAAATTATACGCGATTTTTAAATGTAAATATTCAATTGATGATTTTTTACGGAAAGTTTGATATTTTAGTTCGAAACAATATACTTTTTCAGCATTTAATATAATTAAATTATGCAAAATATTTGAACTCGTAATTAAAGTCATTATTCTATTCATTTCTAGTTAAATTGAAATATTTTATATAAACACATAATTAAACAAAGACATAATTAAATTTATCTTCAGTTTTTATTTATTTTTTATTTATAAATAAATATTTTAATATTAAATCAAATGATTTAATTAAATACATAATTAAAACCTTGTAAAATAACAATGAACATTTATAATCAATAATATTTATAAATTATTATGCTCCAAATAACCATTAAAACAAAATTTAATTCAATTTTTTTTATTATTTTTTAATTTTGAAAATTAAAAATTATAATAATATTAATAACTATAATATTATAATTATTATAGTTATAATATAAATTATAATTATGAATTATATATATGATATTATAATAAATATTAATAATTAATAATTAATAAATACCATCATCAAAAATAAAGATAAGAACCTTTTGTAAAAATTTTTAGAAATATTTCAAATGTTTTTAATGCGCATTGAATATCATGGAATTCAGACAAAAATGATTATTAACAAATCAATGAGATTATGGAAAAAGTAATCCAAATGCAAATTGTAAAAATAACTGGTAATTCATGATGGATTTCCATTCGTACATGAGGAAACCGGTATCGTGCATCTTTTCAATATGCATATCTATATCTATATCTAACTGATTTTTTACATAAATTATGTAGCCCATCGAACAAGAGACAAAATTTTTCTATGTATAATATTCTTATAAATTAGCCACAGTTTGAGTGATTAATAATTTCCGTGGATTATAATTATTGCATTAAAGAAGTTTCGTATGCTTTATACATTTCTTTATTTTATCAATGCTATTTAATTTAATTGCATATAAGTTATGTAGGTCATTGTTGATTGTAGCACATTTAATTTTATTTCTAAAACGATTCGACAGATGTTTCAACGTCAGGTATGAGAAATTGAAACAGCTGTTGTACTTTCAGCGATCTTGATGATAATATCAAATAAAATCTATCGATAATGCTTGAGCATTACTTAAGAACTTGTTCAAAATCATTTTTTTTTTAAAACTATTAAAATTTTTTACAATTACAATTTGTTTAAATCGTATTATTATATAATAATAATATAATAAATATATTATATATATATTTAAATACATATATTTAAAATGTGTACAGTTGTATATTACTATTTTATTTTATTTTATTACTATCTTATAATTTTATAAAAAATTTATTTATAAAAAAATTTTATATTAAATAATTTTATATTTAAATTTATTTTATAAAAAAATTTTTTTCGTAAGTAATTATCCATATTATTTCAAGTAGGAAGAATAGATATATCATATGAGTTTATTAAAAAGTCTTGTATTTCACTAAATAATTATTAATGATTCTTGTCTGGTAAATTATATATATCGTCTATTTATCATCATGAACAGATCTTGTAGTCTCAAAATTTGTCGAAATCGAGCGTGTATTGGCAAAGAGAAATTTTAAATCAGTTATAGATGCAAATGAAAACGATGATAAAGGATGTTTTAAGAAAAAAAAAAGAAACAGAAAGATGATCGTTGGCCCATTTTTTTTAGAAAGGAAACAAGCATGGGTTACAGTTAAACAACTATACTAGCCATGCCATTTAGTTTTCAATGAGCAGCATTCCAGATTGCTGACCAACTACAGCTGCTCACCTGGAAACCCTTCAAGAACTTGTTTCAGTAATATTTGGTTCCTACGCGGAAGTGCGAGTGAAACACCTGAGCGAATTTACTTCCTTCTGCCAACGAAAGAGCTAAAACTTCATTCTTTTTCTTGGACACACCAGAAAATAGAAAATAAATTGTGTGTAATCCGTATAAGTTAAATTCGAAGAATCTCGCAGATTCAGACGATCCAGTGATTTATTGGCCGAATTTCATTGTTCAAAAAGTTACAATGAAGTTGTGAAATCGTACGTTGAATCGAATGAAACTCTAATTACAAATGCGTATCTCTTTTCCATGATCTGTATTTAATGAAATTTCATCACACGTGAGAATGACGAAAAAAAATGATTAAAATTTTTAAAACAAAAATAATATTTCATTTAACCCTTATATATTGTACAAATAACTGTTATGATTGATATTTTTCAATAATAAGCTTATATATTAAATGATTTTATAAGAAGTCATTGAAATTACTTCGATCTTAATCAATTATTATTTTTAGAGACAATTATTTATATAAACAAATGTTCGATATGTTATGAATTAATAATGTAAGTTATATGTAAATTTTATTATCAAATCAAGAATTTTTTCATATAAGAATTATTGTTATCATTGCTATGAAATATTTAAATCATAGAGAATAGTCATTTAAATGAAATTCATTGCGCATATTGGATGATGGATTGACAACAATATCGACCTTGATTTCGATCTAAGATCTTTTAGTTTAAAGTGTTATGATATTTTCAATTAAATTTTCATTTATATATTAAAATCGATAGTAGACGTTTTTATTTTTCAATAACGCAATATAAAATCAAAGGATAGTTATCGATCGTGATATCAATTGATAAAACCTGATTAAAAATGATCAGATAAAAGTATGTGTGGCAACAAATTC